CCATTTGTGCACCTGTAACTCAAATAATGAAGCCATTCGTTATTTATATTGCACTTTCCCCTCCACTCTAGATTTCTAACGATCCGACCCTGTTTTATGGCCCCGACAAAGCCTGAAACTGGTGTGGACTTCCAATAATTGAGCGATATAGGGAAAAATCTTTAATTGGAATGAAGCAGATGTTAGCTTCATGCAGTCCTCTAACTTGATTATTCTTTGGACATGTTAGACAAGCATTAGTGATTGATAATGACGCTAATTAACCCCTTTCCTTTCCAAAACAGCTAACCAACGCCAGCGGGATTCTGCAAACAACACACCCAACGTACTGCATATATCACTATCTGTTTAGAGTCACAACCACACCGCCCAAAATCTCCTGCCGACACCGAGCAGGCTCCAAATACTCCCTGATAGTTCCCAGCGCTGGCGGAGGAGCACTTAGAAAAGGCGCGTGGGACAGAACCGGCCTTTTGCAAACTCCTAACCTTTCACGTTTGGCTGCGGAGCTGTTTCCATCCCATTGCCTTCACTGGCTGGGATGGGCTCGACGCTGCTCCCCGTCAGAGAGACGTTTGTTATTTCAGCCACACTCCTGGAACGCGAGGGCTGGAGCTCTGGGAAGCCGGGCTGGGCTGAGACACGCACGTGGTGAGGAGGGAAAGGGAAGCGCACACGCCGGGATTTCAATGCGAGGCAGGAGATGAGCAAACAAACAAGGAGCTGATCTGATTAAGCAGTCAGATTTATCAAGGGCAATAAAGGAATCGCCTTTAAATGTAAGGGTTTGGAGAAATGAATACTCCTAGCAAGTGAATAAAATGTATTCAATTAACTAAAAACCTCGTGCACTTCTGAACTGAAGTGGAATCGACTGTAATTGATTTATTTGAAACCAGAGGTTAAGGACTGAATTAGCTAAGTACAACTGGGTATTTCAAGCCACTGACTTCTCAAATGTCAAATCCCTTCTATTTTAAATATTATTTCAGCTGCGGGGCATTGCTGTCCTGATGGCTGTTCCACCAGTTAAATCTCAAATTATATTAATATTCGATTTTTGGAGGGTGGGGTGAATTACGGTACAAAGAGGAGGGCTGTCCTTATTCACAGCGAACGAGCGCCGAGCCGTCGTTAGGCTCACGTGCAGAAATCAGCACGGCGTGGCAGCCCTGCCCCAGCGTTCAGCCACTCACCCTAATTCTAGCCAATCTGGAGGACAAAACAACAGCACATTTTTGTTGGTGTCTGAAAGCCTGACCTAGAATTTGACTGCTGCGTGTTGAGCGCGACGGTACGAGCGCATCCAAAGAGCAGCGAAGTAATTAGCAGGTTTTTGTAACCTCGCCTCGGTCGCAGCAGAAGAGGCTGAGCTGAAGCCAGTCTGATTTCCACCCTCGCCTGCAAAGTCCTTCCTCAGAAATAACAGCCATAAAGATATCTACGCAAGGTCATTCCATTTCTGTTTTCCGGTGGCTTGCAAATGCAGCAGAAGGATGCTTGAAATGCGCTCTCCTAGCATAGAGTAGCTAATTATATCTTTAAAACGTTATTTATTACGACCTTATAATGTTCTAGCATAAGACCGCTTTATACATTGCCCAGTATAAAACGATTATATTGGGTACAGGTTTCTAAAAGTAACAAGCATCTGTAAATCCAGATCCGAATGAATGGTATATAATAAGATTGTTTTCGTTTAAAAATGAGTATTTATGTGTTGCTGTGGAAAGAGCAGCAATGTATTGCTGTTTATGAATGCTATTGTGCCTGAGGTTAGGATCCCACACACAATCTGAGATGCAGCCAAGAAAAACAGCCCTGATAGACAATGCTTCACTTCACCTGCTACAATACTGTGCATTTCATTTATGTCAAGAATATGTACAGTTAGGGTTCATTCACCTCATTATTTTGTTACATCTACTTTACAGTTAACCAGTCTCTCTCGGAAACAATAAATAACTGTTTTTTAAAACAATTGTGGCTTTGCATTCAAAAGATGCACTTTCAATTTATAAGAAAAAAATATTCAGGGCTTTTATAAACTGGCTGGCTCTCGAAAATAGAATTTAGACGCCACCAACTCTCTTTCTGCTTGGCAAGATTGATTTTACACTGCCTCCCATAAGTAGATTACCAAAGCAAAATGAAACATCTTGGGCTTTATCTAATGCTTTGCTTCACCAGCCCTAGCAAACGTCAGAATATATGAGCAAATGTTAATTCTCTTTGCAGCTTTATTGTAAACACCTCCCTCTTAACCTCCACCATTTCTGCCTGAGCAAAAAGGAAAAAAAAAAAAAAAAAAAAAAAAAGAGCAGGAGGGGAGAGAGAGAGAGAGAGGAAGAGGCAGGAAAGGGAAAGAGAGAAAAATCAGCCAGCAGCACCAAAATATCATCATCACTTCAAGGAGACCATCTCTTTAAAAGGCCTTTACAATCCGAACCGCATTAGTCCCTTCTCCTGTGATATAACATAATCCAGCCCGATGCTGACTGCACCTACCCCCTGGGCCAAGGAGAACAGATTCAAAGGCGGGATCTCACACGCTTTCACAACCCATCTACAAGACCTACGCTCCTTTTCATCGTTAGTTTTAAGGCAAACTTCCCTACCTCACCACCACAAGAGGAAACTTCAGCTAAAACCCTCAGCTCCTCGCAAACGGGGGCAGCCATCTCAAAACGCCAACCTGCGCCTCCCGCCCAAACACAAACCGCCCATCAGAACGGATCTGTCTGCTGCAGGACTGCACTAAAGTTCACAGCCGTGAGGTGACACAAGCAGGCACAAGCTATGGAGCTTTTCGTTTCCAGCACCCGGTTCTGATTCGCCTGCACGTTCCTTTTTCCTTCACAACGCCTCATTTTCAGTATTTGCTTAGCAGTAATTCCTTTAATAACGTCTTTCCTGAGACAGGTACCATTTCCTTTTCTCTCTGCTCTCTCCTGCAGGACAACCACACGTACAAAACTGCACAGGCTTTATAATTCTGTACGCTGCGGATAAACATAAAGAAAAACCTAGAGGTCAACATAAATAAAATAAAACTTTATTTTTGTTTGTTTGTTTTTTTGGTTTTTTTTTTTTCTTTCTTTAAATAAAATTATGTTTTGGTTAAAGAAAAGATAGCGTGCCATTCTGTTAGCAGTACAGACAGTTTTTTATCCAAAAGAATACATTGTGCTTTATTGTGTCGTTTGTCTGAATACAGACTCGGTGGAATATCTAAATGATACCCTGCTCTGAACTCCAAGTTGAAAGTAAGTTTTTATTATACTTGAGGGAAACAATGGGTTCAGCTGCTTATTGCAAGGAGCAATTGTCAAGGGAGAGTTAAACTCAATTACTGTAACCATACTGAATAAAAAATACTGCCAAGAACAAAAATACGCCTGGGTAAAGACAGCCACTGAATAAAAAAATCGACATAAAGCGTATCAAATATTTATTTATCTGGGCAACAAAGGACTATGATACATTGACAGGCATGGAAACTACTGCCGGCACAACTCAATACAATACAACTATAACTGCTTCCAATATGGCCAGTGGAAATACAGGATACCAGGTGGTCCTGGATGTGTGAAGTTCTTTGGAAAAGAAAAAAAGAAAAAAAAGAACGAAAAAAAAAAAACCAAAACCAAACCAAAAAAAAAAAAAAAGGGAAGGAAGGGGAAAAAAAAAAATAAAAAAAAAAAAAAAAAAAAAAAAGCTAAATCTTGTTTCAAAAGACAGTATTAATTTATTGCTCTGATGGTGCTTTGGGGAGAGGGAGAGCGGATGAAAATAACTTCTTCTTTCATTTTTCACAACATAGAAGGGTTGTAAAACCACTAACATGTTTAAAAATCTTGCCAGGGTCCAACATCACTTTATTTTTTCTTCAATGAGAAACTAAATGTCATACTAATTATATATAAAAATCCATGTGTTTTCTTTTTTTATTATTTGTTCAGCTGCTTCATTGTCGCCTTTAACATGCTACAACAGGGCTAAAAATGATGAATCCCAGAGAAAAACCCCCAAAAAACCTCTGATATCTAAATAAGTACCATGAACCACATGATGAACTAAGAGGGGAAGATTTAAAACCCACTAAACAAGAGGTAAACGAGATCACCAGATAAATAAAAAAAGGCTTAAAACAGACTCACCATATTTACAATTCCCATTAAATTACACATAAATAAATATATACATACATGAACACTGATTCCCTTATATAATAACCGTGAATCATGTTGCAATAGAAGGTTCAAGTTGGTCGCTTTACCTTTGCCAGGAAAAAGTTCTACAACTGAAGATATGACATGGAACTGCTTGTGTTTTGTGTTCAAGTTTATTCGCAATACTGATAAAACGTCATCAGTCCTTTTTGCCTTTCGTTTGCTTGCTGCTGCTGCTGCTGCTGCTGTCGCACTTCTCTCGCCTTTTTCTCTTTTAATATGGCTACAATCTTAACTGAAGTTTATGTAAGGGAAGGTGGTGATTCAGTCCAGTTCATAGAATTTTTTTTTAAGTATTATTTCTTTTTTTTAGTTTTTTTTTTTTAGGTTTTTTTTAATATATTTTTAGAAAAAAAAAGTCCTTTTGTTTTTTTTTGTTTTGTTTTGTTTTGTTTTCCTCCTTTTGTTTTATTTAAAAAAAAAAAAAAAAAAAAAAAAGAAGTTCACAAACTCAAGACAGAACTTTTACTTTTTGCTGGCTCCGTCCCCCTGTTTTCTGTTCTCTTAGGCTCCAAACTGGGGTAGCAAAACGATGGTGGCAGCAGGGAGAGGGGGAACGAGTTAAAAGGGAGCAAATGGAGATGCGGATGCTGGGAAGGGTGCGGGGAGAGGGCAGAGCAGTCCCGCAGAGTCAGAGAACAGGATTGGCAGAAGGATGCTCATTCTGTTGCCGTAGCCTGGGGTGCTGGGTGCAGGGCAGAGGGAGGAGGGAGATGAATGGACTGATGGGCTGCGAGGGGGGGAAGGGAGAGGAGTGGGGGGGAATCCTCACTTTCGGTGCTTCTCCTCTTTGTCGCTGCTTTTGGTGCTGTTGTCTGTGTGGCTGTTGGGGTTGTTGCTGAGGTACATTTTGTCCATGGCCTTGAGCGCCTCGGTGAGATAGTTCTGCAGGGCGGTGACGGCAGCGCATACCGCCGGGCTCCCAAAGCCGTGCGAGATGAGGTTGAAGTGGGTCAGGCAGCTCTGGATGCCCGGCTCCAAAATGGGGTTGGGCCGCGAGTTCCCCAGGGGAGATCGGTCCTGAGCCAGCAGGTCGGTGAACTCTTTACAGATCTGTCTATAGCACAAATGGAGCAGAGACACAGAGAGGGAGGGCAGGAGGGGAAGAGAGAGGGAGAGAAAGAAATGAACCATCGCCGTCAGCAGCAAAGCCACGCTCCCTCCTAGGTTACACAAGCCTGCGGGTGAAGGCGGCCGCTGCCCCCGAGTGCACAAACGCACCCTCGCTCCCCCCCGCTTCCTCTCTTCTACACAGCATTCCCCCATCCTCACACTTGTGGGCAAAGCACGCACCTCTTCCCTTCACCTTGCACACGTGCACAACTGTGCATCGTGCCCCAGCCTGCACGGACAAAAAGCCAGCACGCACAGCACAGCAGCTCCCGCCCACCCCACCGATCCCCGTCTTGCACCCCTCACCTACTGCCTGCAAACCTCCATCCCTTCCCAGATTTTGGATTTTGGAACTGAATCAATACGCAGCTTAAAGTACCCCAGCAATGTGGAACAGAGGAGACGGGCCGCAATATCCAGAGAGGATTTGGGGGATTTATTCACGTTTTGGAAGACTCTTATTTGGAGAGCCTCGGGCCTCTTCCTTCACAAGGCTAAAACACGCCCATGTGCGTGGGGAGGAAAGGGTGAAGGAAGAGAGGGGAATCGAGGCTTTAAATTAGGGTGTTCCGAAACACTTTATATATATATACATCTCTATCTCCAAATCCAAAGGGACCTTTCCACACAGGGTAAAGGCTGACGCTAACCGGGCTCTGGAAATTTCCTTCCAGGGACGTGAGAAGGGAGGATATACGAGGGCAGGGTGCAGAAGTTAGGTGACACCATCCGCCCACCGCACAAAGGGCTGGGGAAATAACACACCTTACAGCGAGGGCTGAGAGGCACGTTGAAACAGTTTGGATTCTGAAACCCGCGTTAATGTCTTCCAGCCATAAACTGGCTCCCATCTTCTGCCTGCGCCCTCTGGCACTGTGCCCTTTCGTGACACCTCCACTGGTAATTAAGGGCCACTAAACAACCCTTTTAATTTCCAGCAAACATATCAAAACAATCATTCTCCTTTCACGCGCCACCTGGAAGTCTAGCTAGCCCCACCAATGATAAACCCCGCTAGCATTTTAACTGTGTACAGATTGGCATTTAAAATATATTTTTAATATCCCTACGTTCACGAAGTAGCTGAGATCCTCAGGAAGAAAGAACCGCCGCAGATTTTAATGATCTGAAATCAGTTTAATGTGCCAGTTTTATTTTCCCGTCAATGGGAAGCCTTCCCCCTTCTACCTCGATTGATAAGCTAAGTGAGAGAACCCGGAATATTTTTTTGCTTTGAATAACTACTGCTTTTTTTCTTTAACCAAACATCCATCTGCAATATCCACAACTCACTCTCAAGCAAATCCATGCAGATGGACTGGATGGAAACCAAGCTGAGCTACACAGAGCTCCTGAAGCAGGAGGGGACAAACAAACCCCCACAAAACGCAACACCAGCAGCCACCAGCTACGTGGAAAACATTTGCAAATAAAAGCTCCAAACCCGGGCCTGTCGCCCTCCCCTCATAACTGAACCACATGCTAGGAAGGTAAATGTCTTACTTTGTAGCTAGAAGCATGTTTTTTCTTGTGACTTGCTCGTTTGGATCGGAATGTTGTCGGTTGAGAAATTCAGCTACTGCTTTGGCAGGAAATTCTGTCTCACAAACGTACCCAAAATCTCTAGCTAGATGCACTGCTTCCCCTGCAAAGGGAGAGGCGGGAGGGGATGGGGAGGGAAACACACAGCTCATCAGTACACACAGCACAGAGGCAACGATACATCAGAAAAAAAAACAAAAAAAAGCACGACTTTCTACTTGGGCTTTTCTTCTAAAAGACGGGACTGGTTCTCTTTCTATCTCTGCAAAAAGGTACAGTAAGAAATGCTAATCCCATCTTATCTTGTAGGAGCTGCCTTTTGCTTCAGTCCAGGGCAATGCAAATGTGTATTTTCATGACAATCTTTACGAGTGAAATCTCACATTCAATTTTTTTTTTTTTCAAGCTTCCATTGACTAACAGATCTTAGCCAGACAGGCTCCGTGCACCTCAAACGTGTGCTTACATTCACACAGCCACGTGCATACGCAGCCATTTATACACAGCTCATTCAAATCTATTTACTCCGGAAATATTTGATTGCCTCAGCCACGTCTCTATATTCTTTCGCAATGCATCAATGATTAATATTGATCATAATTACTCCTAGAGCTCTTCTAAATAAAACGCATTAAACAGCTAAGTGTTTAAAATTTAACTTGATCGCATATAATTATATGTTCCCCCCCAAACGATTAACCATGAGAATTTTAGGGTCATTCCACCGAGTCTGTCTGTTTTGTTGATTTTCAAATCTTTGGTTTTAATTTCCTGAACCAGTTGGTTTTTACTGCAGGGCTTCCTGCCATTAGCTCTAGCTCCGGAAGAACGCATGCGCCAATTAGAGCTTCAAAGCCTCAGTCCAGTGAGCTTGTTTCCATAAAATGGAGCGGATCATAAACAATAACAGTACTCCAGAAAATGCTACGGGACTCAAAGCCCGAGCAGTGTTTACACTATCATCCCCTCAAAACCAGACACCGCTCCTAAGCCAAAAGGAGGGAGATCAGGCCTCCGTTTTGCTTTTTGTTTTCATGAAAATCACTCTTTTAAAGCAATTATACGCCAATGCCAAACAGAACAATAGATGACAATCATTCTCCATATTCATTAACATCCCCCAAAATATTAGGCATCTACCAAAGCCAGACTTTTTAGAAGTTTTCCCCTTGCAATTTGTTACTATGGTGTGCTGATGCAATGGCACAGCCTTTTCAAAAACAGTCAGACGCAGCTCACTCCCATGCAGCATGAACACTGTGCAGCGACCTAACTTGAATGTTTAAAAAACTCAAGTCCAGCATTGCGCAGTGCTTCTTTCCCCATCCCTTTCAACATGAAACATCTCCACCAGAATGCAAAGTGACAACAAAACAGAGCTACCAATTCCCTCCTACGCAACCAAACTTAACGCGAACCCGCGCAGCTTGGGGCTGAGGTTAAAAGCACTCTGCAGACCAAGCTGTCCCAAAACGTTGTGAAACCCACAAGCAGAGAGAAAGGGGGAGGATTTATATTCTGGGCGTGGGTGTACTTTGTGCCAGTCAATGTGACAAAGCAACTGATTCAAAACTAAAGGACAGCAAAGGCTCAGGCTTCTCACTGCTGAGTTCTGAAAGCACAGGGCACCTGAAGGTGCTAAAAGTAAGTTGTGCGTTCTCTGGACAGACCAAAGCAGAGAGGAATGATATAATGAAGGGAACACATGTTCAGAAAATGAGAACCAAAAGGGAGGGGGGGTGCAACTCGGAGGCTTTCAGGACACCATTAATTCACTGCTTAGGTCAAGGATTCCCAAATTAATTCAGGAAGTAATGGTCACGCATTTCTCCAATGCAGATGTCAGAAAACTTAAATGATTTACTGTTATGTGGCTGGGGGCAGGGGGAGATGAATCCCAAAGCAGCTGCAGTTTTTTGACATTTCAGTTGCCCACTGTCGAGGGGCGGCAGCAGCTCTGCTCCCTGCAACTTTCAGCCCAGTGCTGCTGGGACTGAGCTCAATGCCGAGTCTGCAGGTTTCGTTTTAAGTTTAAGTTAGATCAAAAGGCAGAGCTGCACAACCAACCGTCCTTTCCTGATCGACCACAAGAACACCCTTCCAATTTCAAACAGGCAGCACCAACTTGGAAAAAAAAGAACAACAACAAAAAAAAACAACACAAAAAACAAGCCAAGACACCGAGCCTTGTCCCACTGTGCAGCACCACAGGCAGGGCTGAGGCACTTACCCTCCACCAGCGAGGTGAGCAAGGTGACATTAGCAGCTTTGCGCCTCCCGGCCGGCAGGTTCAACCCTATCTTGTCCAGCTTCTCTCGAAGGGACCGCCCGCCATTTTTGGATTTTGCCCTGTGCCACAGCAGAAGGAGGTTAGAGGAGGGGCGGGAGGGACTGCAGCACCCCAAAATGCCAAACCAGAGGGACAATGAGGGGATGTTTTTGAGGGGAAAGCCGAGTCCACAGATGGAGCGGTGCAGCGACTGAGGTGACAGCCTGCTCTGAGCCGGCAGCCGCCACAGCCCAGAGGGGACATGTCTCAGGGCAGCTGCGTTATTCCATTGGTAAGGCAAGAGGGGATGGCCTCAAGTCGCACCAGGGGAGGTTTGCGTTGGATATTAGGAAAAATTTCTTCTCATAGAGAGTTGTGAGGCACTGGAACAGGCTGCCCAGCGGGGTGGTGGAGTCACCATCCCTGGAGGTGCTCAGGAACCGCGTGGCAGTGGCACCTGGTTAGTGGGCATGGTGGGGATGGTGGACTGCATTATCTTCGCCACGTTTCCAACCTTAATGGTTCTATTCTGTGATCCTATCGTTACTGAGCAGGCTGATGTGAAAGTTTGCCGTCATCACACAGAGTCTGATCTCCGCACGGCAGAGACGGCGCGTTAGGATGAAAGTTTGGCTAGTTAATTTTATTCCCTGCCCGAGCGCTCTCGAACTGTCTGCACTGGATCACAGCCCGACGGCGCCCACAGAGCACGCTGACGCCAACCCCGCACCCCGGGCTGCCACCGCCACGAGGGCGGAGCGGCCGGCCTCCGCCACCCCTCGCACACCGGGCCGCGTTGCCATGGTTACAGCGCCCCCAACCCAATCGGCCGCCTCAGCGGCAGCGCGCCGCGCCCCCTAGCGGCCGGGCGGGCGCGGGGCTCCGTCGGGGCGGCAGCGGTCACCGGGCGGCCGGCCGCGCGGTTCGGTGCCCCCTCGGCCGCCGCCGTCCGCCCGCCCGCCTCCCGCCTATCCCCCGCCCCTCACCTCCGCAGCACTCCGCCCAGCAGGGAGGCGTTGAGGCACTCGGGAGGCGAGAGGCGTCGCTGCACTTCCGCCACCGTGACCTTGTACTTGGAGGTGGAGCTGAGCAGCGAGAGGCGGCCCGGCACCGAGCAGAAGACCTCGTTGGGGTTCACCACCCCGCCGAAGAGCGCGTCCTTGTTGATGGGGATGGAGGAGACGGCGTTGTTGTTAGACTTGGAGAGGGACACGGGGCCTGCAGGGAGGGAGGAGCGGGAGGTGAGGGTGGGGAGGGGAGATGGGGCAGAGCGGCCAGCCCGGCCCGGAGCAAGAATTAAAGAAAAAAAAAGGAAAAAAAAAAGAAAGAAAAACAAGAAAAACCAAAACACCGAAACACAGCGGGCGGCCCCGGCACAGCGCAGGAGCTGGGAGCGCGAGGCGGAGGGCCCAGGGTTGGGGATGGATGGCTTGTGACATTAATAGCTCGGGGAGGGCTAATGGATACACCGAGAGTTAAACGAACTCTGGAGATTACTAATAAAAGAGCCAATTATCATGTCGGCTCGGAAAGAGCATCTCTTCAGATTTATCCCTCGCGCGTCTAATTTGACGTGACAAAGGCTTGGCGGCCGGAGATGGGGATGGGGACGAGGACGGGGCGCGGGGCCGCCCGCTGTCCGTGCCCGGTCCGCCCGGCACAAAGCCGCCGAGATCCCGCGGCCCCGCCGCCGCTTCGCCCCCCGCTCCCCGGCAGCCCGGCCGAGCGCCGCCGCGATTCGATCGCGGAACCGCGAGAGGAGAGGAGCGCGGCGTTTTCTCCTCCACTTTACCGACAACGATTTGCCCCGAGCTTCGGGCAAAGCGCGAAACCGAGCCGCTTCCCGACGCGCCGAAAACACCGGAGCGGATTTAGCGGTCCCGCTGTTCTCGGGCAAGCGATACGAGCCGTGCCCTCCGCCCGCTGCCCTACCGACCCCGGCCCGCAGCGCCCGCGCTCGCCGCTCACCTTTCTTAATGACGGTCTGGTCCGGGATGTTGATGCCGGGATCTTCTACGTGCTGCAACACAACGAGAGGCGGCGGTCAGCGAGCGCGGCGGGCACCGAGAGCCGTCCCACAGCCCCGGGCCCCGCATCCATCCCTGCCTCCCTCCCTCCCTTCCTCCCTCCCTCCCCTCCATTCCGCCTCTCCCCGCCGCGGGCGAGGCACAAAGGAGCGGCCGCAGCCGGGCGCACGGGGCCGCTCCGACGGGGCGAGCTTTGCACCCCCGGGCGGGCTCCCCCCATTGTCTGCCCGCAGATGGGGTTCGATCGCAACGTGCCGAGGAAGCCAAACGGAATAGCGTCGTTGTTTTGTTGTGTTTTTTTTTTTTTCTAAATCCGAAAGAAGTGACAGGCGATATAATGCCTGGCTGTGTTTACAAATTAACACCAGCGCTGCTGAGATAGAAGGTTTCGCAATCGTTACAAAACGCAGGCATTACCATTTAAAAAACTATTACTTCCTCCTCTAGTCTTTGTCCAACAATAATACTGATCCTAACATTTTCCATTCTGCCTTGGATTTATGCTCCCGTTAATTGTGCCTGATCTCAATGATTCCGGGTGGATGGTACTAAGTTGCTTTATTACAGGTTTTATTATACTCCGTGCTCTCATTTGTAACTTGCCTAAAGTGCTTCTGGATTTAAGTATAATTAAATTGAGAAATGTTCAGAAATGACTACTGCCGCAGTTCTCGTGTTTTAACTATATGGGGAAATATGATCCCTTTATGCATGCACCCTAAACCCATAAAGTCAATGTAGTGTGGCATAATACTTTTATTTGTGTTATTTCTGCACGTATTCCGTACGGGGAGGACTGTTAAGTTTAAAATCCCACCGAGATATTTATGATTAAATAATTTTCACCGTCTCCTCGATTTTCCTAAATCTCCACCGGTCCCTTTTGTTAAAGCCGAACCGTGGCAGCAACGGAAAATCCACAAGCGACCCAAAGCTCCGTATTTTTTTCCCCCTTGCACAACGAATACTCGCAGCTACTCCCCTGTTTCTGTGCCTTCCCGCACTCACCCTGCCCATTCCGTTTTACAGAGAGGGAAGAAAAAATAACACAAACCAAAAACAACAAAACAAAACAAAACAAAAACCAACCAAGGGCCGGGCTGGGTAAGGATTTAAAACAGATGGCACTCGGCTCTCACAAACTACGGCAGCGCCGTTAATTCGTGGGTCTGTGAGACGCGAACGGAGCGATTTGTACTGCAATCTCTGCAGGGCACAGCGAGACAGAGCGGAGGGGGAATGGAGGAGTACGCTTTGGTCACGTTCCTGCAGCAGTCAGGGGCTCACCGGCAACAAATTGGTTTGTTCCTGCTGTTGCCTCCGCTTTATTTCGCATCGGGTTAAAAGAACCGACTCGTTCCTAACGGATCCCAATGGCTCACTAAAGCCTCCGCTCTGGAAAGCGTTCGTATTTATTGCAAAAGTGCGGAACACGAGCGGCAATTTTCTGCGGCTAAATTCAGCCGGGGGGGGGGGAGGGCTGCCATAAATTCCCCATTTTCCACGAGCGTAATTTTCAAAAGGTTTCCAAGCGCCCCCCAAAATGAGGTACATCGGTCTGAGCATCATCCTCACAACGCGAAACTGTACTCATTAAGCTGTCAGCGAATATATTGCTGTAAGATTTGATCCCGTAATTTGGGATGGCATTTCGGCAGAAATCACATCCAGACACCACAGCTCCCTCCTCTCCCTCGCAGCCTCAGCCCCTCCGCACGGGCACTGCGAGCTTTCCTACATCTATTGCCACATTCTGGTTCTGTTTGCAGGGAGAACACCGGCAGAGGAACTTTGCTCACGTTCCCATTGCGTTGCATAAGGCACTCTCCTGTGGAACAATGGCCCAGCTGCTCCATCACAGCCCTGTGTAATGCCATGCTTCATTAGAAACCATTTCTTTTTTTTTTTTTTTTTTTTTTTTTTTTTTAAATCCGGGCTTACTGATAGCAGAATTGGATTCCCCGAATAACCCGCTGCCCAATGGGCTCCTCACATTTAATTTAATAGAAGTGCAGCGGGTCTGGCTGGGATTTGATAACCCATAGGTATAGCCAATGGTCTGTGGGGTCATCCATCCCCCTGTGCTGCTGCTGGAAGAACATGGCAGCAGCTCCACACACCCCTCCTCCGATACTTGTCCATTAATTCCTTTGGAGAAGGGATCTCCCTGCGTCCCCTCACAACTTGAGATGCCACCATCCCGTAATCGTGGGGAACCGACCTCTCTTCCTTAGGCCACTTTCCCCGACTTTTTTTTCACCCCTTTCCCTGCGCGTTTCCCAAGGAGGACGCTCTCAGAGACCCCACGCCAACGAGAGATCCCCACACGCCCGGCCCTGTGGCTATAGTAAACATTCTCCCAATCGCAACATCTCATTGTCACCGAGAAGGAAAGATATTGTTAACACCGACACTCATGTGATTTATCCCCATTTCAGCGGGCGCAACACACGAGCCCATTGTTCTGGGCAGGGGGGCTCGGCCTTCCTCCCTTCCTCCCTCCCCTTCTATTACATTTCGGGGGCCCCTCCCTCGCCCCGTGTCCCCCCCCCCCCTTCCCCCCCCCCGTACCAGCCCATCTACCCCCAGTCTCAGGACCCC